CAAAATAAGAGTCTTTAAAATATATTATGGAGACGTTTTAATATGCAGTCGATTATTCCAATCACTCTGTTGCTTAATGAGAGAAATAATCAGCTTTATTAAATTCTAGTGTTCTCACAGAGACAACAATTTTTGTACGTGACTTTTTTCAAGGGTTTCTATAACTGATGGCACAATTATTTTGATCATAGGTATTATAATAGTAAACATTTTTTTTTTTTTTTTTGTGAACACATTATACACTTTAATCAATACCAACTCTTCGCTATCATTGTAATAACAGTTTCGCAGTAATATATATATATATATATAAACTGCTCGTGAAAGTTTACCCCTATCCGCCCTATGCAGAGCGTTGAAAAAGGAAAACTAAAAAGGGTTTCAACCCGTCGAAACCCCTCTCGCTATAGCAGCCCTACGGGTGTATGTAAACGCGCATAATATATATGCATTTTAATTACTTTTCAATCCTAGCAATATATTTTATTCGAACGCGCAATAAATGCATAGCATAATTATTTATCATGGTATAGTTTATTGATTATTAGGATGTAAAAAGGCCAATATCAAATTTAGCATACTTTAGGCAAATGAGCGTAAAAGTTTTTATTTCTCAAAATATATTAGTTTAAACGTTATATTTATCTATTAACAAGCACAAACAAGCCGGGGAACGGGAGTGGACTGTAATACGTTTTTAATCTACTAGCATTAATGTACTTAATTTTCCTCCTAAAACTATTACCGTACAATGAAATTCTGAAAACCTTTTATAGTTTTTATTATTTTTTTTTTTTTTTGCATGATCGTTTCTTTAGCCAAGACATATTGTGTAACAAGCTGGTGTCCCGAATTCGGGTTGAATAAAACCTAAAAGAACTGATAAAATATTATAGTTGTACATAGTGAGTATTAATAAATGAATACATTTTAAACGAAACGACAACAATTACTGAAGACGAAAAAATTATTAGGTACTTTCATCGAGTAATTATTTTGCTCCATCATACGGCGCGTTACATATGCAATATCAATGCATATATGCGTTGCAGCTTAAGTTATTGCCTAACTCTCATCGTTGCTGACGCTTGATGGCGAAATAGATCATTTTGCGATATAGATCATATTACAATACTCCGGTCGGCGAGAGAAGGAACTTGCGCAATAACCAAAACGCATTACTCTCTTATGCGCCTGCGCAGACAGTGATTCTGTGCAAGTTCTTTCTCTCGTTGTCCAGGGAACAATCACGCTATACAACAAAATACTACATTTTTCATTTGACAAAAAGAAAAACAAATAAATAACATTGCAGTATCTCCTCTTGAAATCCCAATCCAGTGTCGATTCTTGAACCGAGTCGTTTGTATCAATACCGTACATATCGCTATTATGTAATACTGTACATTATATTAAATAACGCTGTTCATTTTCAACAAGTATGTACACGTTTTTATCCAGGATGTTGTTTATATTAATAATGAAACGATCTAAAATGTATAAACAAAAAAGGAACTATAAACAACCCGGAGGAATCTTGACGTTCGCAACAATATTTTGGACGATAAAACAATTATTATTGTTTTATATTATTATTATAACAGCACGCTATGTTTGTAGTCTTCGAAATTAACGTTTGCATAATTTATCATAATTTAACCGCGTCGGGTTTTTACTTGAATAACCATTAACTTTTAATGTTTGTAATTTGACTGAACAAGATTTACAACCAATTTGTCCGACTAAATAATGATAATGACTTGCCAGTTACTGTGAACCTGTTACAGACGAAACATGTCTTGATAAATTTAAAGCGTTACTGTTTCCGCGTTTGTGTTCCCTAAATGAATTCCTGTTAACGTGGCGGACACGTAGTGTATTAAAATGAGTTTTATATTGCATTTACTCGTTTTGAATTTTCTAACATTTTTACATTCCGACTAACACACAAGTACATGGTACAATCAAACCCCGTTTGTGTAGAGCCGCCACTGACCTTTTTGCGTTTGGGTTAATGTAAACGCCTTTAATAGTCGAATAATCGAGATAAAACTTAAGCCAAAAGTTATCTCAACAGTATGTTAGCATAAAGAACTGCAATATGAAATCGACAAGCCGTCGTTAAACTAAAAACTAATTATCTTATTATTTCAGTCATAGCTAATTTTATATTGTAGTGACGTTGTATGCGATGGTTAATTATAAGTATACAATATTTTATGTAGTAATAGAGGTTTTTGAAAACACAGTAAACATTTTGTATGCAAAACCGAGAAGGCTAATTAGTACAAACCGGTCGACTGCAACTTTATAAGGTACCTTTTCCTCGTCACTATACAGTGTAAGTTTTTAATTAATTTTTACAGTACAGTACGGTTGCTCTTCAAATTAATTGTTATTCTCTCGCGATAAATAATTCATGCCTTCTTATTTTTTTTTAAAACGTGTACGTTATTTACATTTTTATAATCAGATGGCTAATGTTTTTCTTGATATTCTAATATAATATCCGTACTTTTGGCGCAAAAGCCGAGACGTTTTGATCAAAACAAATTACACCACTCGCCATAAATATGCTTACATTATTATAATACGTTTTCAGGGTACTTTGCCTTGAGTAATCATTCACCTGTGGTTGTTATTTAATAAAATATATAATATTGTTTACCATCGCCCATCAACAAAAGACTCTAGGTAAGAAATTTCACTATAATAATACAAAAAACAAACAATCCTAATATATCTAAGGTATATACCTTAGATATTTAATCATATTTATAATATATACATACATGACACACCCGGCCATTCCCCAAAAACACACTTCCCTAAAGCCGTACGTTGCATTAATAATCATCCTTTTCCGGGTCTTTATATTTTTCCCTCACATTCAACATTACTATAACGGTCGATAGTCTATAGAATTATTAATATATATATACATTTATATATTTATATATTTTTTCTCAATCCGAATTATGTTTTGTTCTATCAAAATGATAAAATACGTCGAGCTTTAAAATAAAACTCGAGTTGTAACGATAAGAAAAACCTTTTTTATAGCACATATGTCTGCTACATGTTTTAATATTTCATAATGGCAGTAACATTAACGGAAGATGTATGGAATAAAATCACGCATTTTATTAATATCTGTATTGAATATTACATACATAAACATTTTCATAGAAAATATATTATTATAGTATACAAAGTGTACTTCCAGACGGCAAAAAAAAATGATTAATATTTCAAAGTGCTGTTAGAAAATTAGTAAATATTATAAAAATTATACTTTGGCAGAAGACATACATAAATGTTAAAAAAAACACATAACACTATATTATGTTGTTTTAAGGATACTACTAAAATTTGGTAAATACCATTATATATTTAAAATAGAAGTAAAAACTTAAAAATATTTTCATAATACTGAAAGAACATTTTCTACATGACATTTTTCTGACAAGACATGATAATAAATTATAAGTCTTTTTGGAAATATTAGTACATTTTTTCTGTCAGTACTATACAAATTTATTTATAGACAATATTTTTTTTAATTCAAAAAACATAATTTTTTTGTAAAAAAATGAACTATTAATAATGTAAAAAAAGGCCCAAGTAAAATTTTACGAAAAAAGATCACAAAAAAAAGCAAACAAAAGTAATTTATGAATATATATATATATATATATATATATATATTTGTCTTACTAGACAACTCTCTTGTGTGATATTATATTAAAAAACATAAAATCAAGTTTTCCAACAGTAAAGTGTATTAAAAAATAATAATGAAAATGGAATATAATATTATATCGGCATTATTAATGTAATAGACGTGTTTTAGTGATTTTTATACCCGTACTTAAAACCTATCCTAACTCGGTCAAAGGTAATAAAATAAATACAAATTTGTCTGTCAAACAATTCTTTTGGTACTATTTTCGGTACCCTTTTTCTATTACTTGATAAATTTTAAGACTCATATCAACGACTTCGGATGAAATAATATATTATACTGTGTTAGTGATATATAGATGATGAGTGGAAATGAGAGACAGAAGCGTAACTAGATAATCCAAAATTTTCCATTGTTACTTAGACGTTAAAATGTGTAAATCGAGCTCTGATTTTCATAGATATTACATACAGTTCATGACATACGAAGAAATATATATTTATTAATAAAAAAAATAATTTGTAAGAAAGGCCTATCTCGTAGGGTTAAAAAAACGGTAGTTGTAATTTGTGAGGGAAAAAAGTTTTAAGTGACCAACCGTGATGTGCAAAAAAAAACTTTATCGTCGTTTGGGGACGAAAGTTTATTTTTTTTCACTCCGTTACTTGGACAAACACCGTAACGTTTAAGTTTAAAACAAAAACAATGTATTTTATTCACTGTCCAAGGAGTACACTGGCCATATCTACACTACTATACAATAGTAGAAAATAGTCGAGTGGAACTCGATTCGGATGCACCCCGTCGAGTTGTACAGGACTGGAACTTAATGGGAAATGATATGACTTATTTATTAAGTAGTTAAGTATAGGCAATTTTTTGAAAAATCTTAATTTAAAGGTTAAACTGAGATGTGTAGTTAACAGCTTGGTAATTAGGACGTATTTTGTTGGTAGTTAATTTGCTTTTCGGACTGTTCTTGACGGTAATTAAATCACTTCGCACTTCCAATAGCACTCGGAACGCTATTTGTCGTCAAAAATCGTTTATATAGTACCAAATTAAAAGACCAAAACTTCTTCAACGTGCCTGTAGAGTGTTTAATAGGTAACTTTATCGACACTATATAATAATTTTACTATGGACATTTAAAACAAATTCTTATTGAAAATATTATACGTAAGCAATGATTTTTTTTGGGGGAGGGGAGGGGGGACATGGCACATAGTATCACACAGATATACACGGGTATCTTTAACAACACCGCGATGCATTAACAAGTATTGAATTTTTTTTTCAATTTTTCTAAACTCACCTATCCGAGTGGGTTTTCGGCGAGCGGCCGGCAATACATGACCACCGAACCAGTGGACCAGTTGGGCTCGCGTTCAAGTCGCCGACACACGTGCTGTCCAAATTCGAAAGACTCGTCTCTCCGGGGGGTGACCGCGGTTTTTTACGGGTTTTTTTTTTTTACTTAAGTACACACACCGGCTCGGATTCCGGTTAGTCTGCTGACTGCTGACAAGACGACGAGGGACGGCAGGACGGTCGGTCGGTCGGCCGGCCCGGAGCGTGTACGGTCCCGGACTGTCGTTTGTAGGGTACGGGCGGCGACTACCATCACTGCCGCGAGACCGATCTCCGCGCCCTGAAAACCGGCGTTTTACCGCCGTCACGACCGCGCCGGCCGAACTTTGCCGGCCCTCTCTCTCTCTCACACACACTCTCTGCCCAAGTCCCGGCAAGGACAATAGCCGGAAACGTCGCGTATCCGCGTCAAAATACTTGCGACGTCAACACCGTAACAATACATACCCTCTGCTGGACGAGCACCTGCCTAATTGAATGGCGACAAAATGTATATAATTTAGCAGAAACCCCTTTGGACCGCGCAAAGGGGAGCTGCTGCTGCACGTCGGAGAGGTCACACTTTCGTTGGCAGAGATTGGGGGGGAGGGGGTGGCAAAAAACCCCATTAAAAATTAGGGCTACATTTATTTTTTAGCGAGACATTTGTCGAAATAAAAACAAACGTAGCGTTAATTTTGAGTTTCGAGGTTTTAGAAATCCCTAACCTCCCCCCCCCCCGCTGATCTCCTAAAAAACGGTTGCGATATGATTCACAGTGCTCGTTACACTTCACCAATGTTGTGTATAACGTATTAACGTCTGAATATTTTCGAACGGTGTTTTTTTAAATAATTTATTCTAATAAAAAGTGTTTCTGAAAATTACCAAGCCAAATTATTCGAGTAAACTGTGAAAAATGATTCAAATAGTTAATTTTGCTTATGATTTGCTCGGGGTTGGGCAGATAGTAATTTTTAACTTCTAATAAGCATTATTTTAATTTGATTGCCCTGAATTATTTCCAAAAGTTGACTTGGCTGAAATTGTTTATTCTTATACTGGAAACTTCAGTATTACATAGTTATTCAGCCCAAACTAACTAGGTTATTTACGACTATTTATATTTTTTACCATCTCTTTCGTATTACCTCTTATACACTAATCGTCCTTATTTAAATTTCCATTTTACCTACTTTCTCATTTTTCCACGTTCTTATCATTCCTCGTGCTTAATATTCCGATTCGAAACGTGCGCCGTTGTCGACATTATTAGAATTTAATGGAAAAAAAAATAATAATATTCACCCTTTATCATTAACCACCACCACATGGCTCCTTTCGCCTCATCAATTCCTTTACCGTTACATTTTTTTTTTCATAAATGACCTCAAATAGTTTCTCCAATTTACATGTCTCCGGCTACCTTAATTATATAACAAGCTAAACCTTGAGCTTTCCTTCGATCTCTTCATTGGTGAATTTTACCTATCAATATATATTCCACTGATGTTACCTTTTTATAAATAATTTAAAAATCGCATAATACTTATACTCCGACAATGTTGATTACACTTGTTTAGGATAGTGAACCGCAACAGCTGTTCATTGCTAACGTTAAAGTTTAACACCGTCTTGAAGTCCAAATATAATTTATCATCAAGGTTTTTAAGTATAAGTATACATAGCGTTACAAGAACAAACCAAACTTTTTGTCTGTAGACTGACAAACGATTAGTTCAGAGCAAAAGTTGTCTTTGAAATAATTGTACAGCGTAAATAAACTGTAATAGTTAAATTTGCTTCTATGTGATTTTGAGTTCTTCACGCCATTGTCACGGTCATGCTTAAACCGATGATAATTCAGCGTTACCAATATTTGTAATGACTATAAGATGGACGTTGTTATTTTGTTACATTAATTCAAAACAAAGAAACACTCTTAACAATTATTATTCTAAGGTAGAAAACCACACACCGATGAATTATAAACTTACTCGGTTAAATATTTATCATCTGCAATATAACCAACAGTTTGGCAATGGCGACAAAAAAAAAATCATGTGTTTTGCAAATAATAAAACACATTAAATCTTTGTTAAAATAAAATAAAAGAGTTAATAAATTTAAAAAATAAACATTTGTAGCTATCAAATTATCTACTTCGCTTTTGTTCTTAATGTTTGTTAAAGTTTGCTCGTTGGTTGCCGAAAAATAATTACATTTACAATAGTACTATATTAAAAAACAACAAGATAAAGATAAAACTAATTATTATGTAAAATTATGCATACATTAAATTAACACATGTTTTAAAGTATAGTAATTTTAAACTACCGCGGCTCTAGTACAATATAAAACTTAATTTTCACGTCACAAGCACGGTGGTGACTGGTGTTGACCACCTGCTATGCTGTTACAGATTTTGGGTCAGGGAGAACTGGCGTAAGTGATTTATTTTATGATGAGGTTAAAAAGAAGAAAAAAAGGGTTGAACGCGGGAATTATATAATAAAAAAAACACAATGGTTCTTTAATAAAAGTGGATTAACAATAAGAACAAAAACGCGGTTTCAGTTAGTCCGCAAATGGATATTTCTACGTAAATAAATTGCGTTGAAAAATTGCAAATGAAAAAAAGTAACAAAAATAAAAGTTTCTATAGTTTTAACTCGGTATGATTACATTGTTCTCGCTACGGTCGCCTAGGTAAATTTTTTTAAACTACACAATATAGTACTTTTATCTTTATTATTTCCAAAACAATAAATATAAGAGACTCTACATTGGGGTGAACGACTTTAAGGAAATTTGCCAAATAATTATCGTCCCTTCATCTCACTGTGGCGCTGAAGTGTCATTGTGGTCGGATGGTGCCGGCCCGATGCCAACCGACTTGATTAAACAAACGGCTAACCCAAACCACGGCCGGACCGCAATCGTCTTAAACAATAATATTACTGCAAAAATTGGTCTTGCCAGACTTAGATGTTCGTGTAATATAGTTCCGTAGAATGTAAACGACCTTGAGGGGATGTCTATCTAAAATAATAATGGTTTGTTTTTTAGAAAAGTACTCAAAGGTGTTGTATTTGCAAACAATACGTGTATCGCGAAAAAATACAATATTTTATTTCTTTGAGAACAAAAAATCGTGTTTTGTGAGAAACAACAATACATATTATTTCTACTGAACAAACATCTACCGTACAGCCCAACATTTGTATTCACATCACGTCACAACAAACGACATAAAAACCATTCGCAAAACGATTTGTTCTACTTAAATTGTAGTGCGAAAATGTATAATAGCAATTACAACAGCTATAATATAACACAATTTCGAATAATTGGAAACATTTCCCTTGATCGCCTTACCACCTTGTTCTTTGAAACTTCACCTACCTAATAAGGGTCGGTGAAATTACCAAAAAGGCTCCACCGCCTTAGTTGTTTATACCCTAAGTTGTTCTTACCCCGTAACGGTTGATCTACCCCGTGACACTTTTATGTTAATCGGTAAAGAAAACTTTGTTAGCATATTTACTATATTAAACTAGAAGTATAATTTTGTTGACCGTTACTAGAACATTAATTATTAACCTCAATGGATATATTTTTATCGAAGTCATATTTCTATACAACCCCTAATTAGAGTTTACAATTACTTTAGTGAAAATAGCATACTTTCGGTTTATTTAGACGGTTTATTTTTTGTCTTATAAACTACATATTTTCTGATCGATTGATCTTTTGTGTGAAAGTTTTGGTCGAGCGGTTCTGGATCAAATACACACATTTTCACACAATGATATCATATTTTGTTGAAAGCAATGGTATATTATAATTAAGTTGTCAATATAAATTTGCCTAACATTTTAGCGGAAAATCAATAATTGTTAACAACGCACAAGTTTCAATAATATTTCCTAAATATTATAGTGATTTTCGTTTAATGTATGAACTACGTTTTTCAATTTCTCAAACAAACATTAATAAAATATAATGATTTATTGTAAAGTTATTTACCACCAAACGTCAACTGAACTTCGAGAAAATGTCTAATTATGCAAATGTCTGTGTTTATTTTAAACAATATTTTGTTCTCTTTGCCTACTATGAAAAAATCATAGAACTACGTTAGTAGATTTAAAAAGTTGCAACGTTGAGTGATAATATAATTTTATAATTTCTAAAATATAGAAATATGTACAGAAACGATAGTATCATATGGACGAAACTTGCAATGCACGCTCAAACGCTCACTTGGTGCGATTTCTCGGATGGAATTAATTATTACAAAACACGTTTTAACACGCAAAATACGACGCGTGGTTGATTTTAATCTTTAGACGCCACGTGCCCAATCTGGCGAACTTCTCATCGTTTGTATAACGCGTGGCACGACCGTGTCTATCTCCGCTTTTGAACAAATCAATCAGAAATTAATTTGTGAGCGAAACAAAACAGTCCATTGTTATCATATCGGAAAATTGTTATCTGGTCACAATAATAATCAGCTAACGTATGGAACGATGTAGTGCTCGAGTATGTGTGTGTGTGTGAAATTTTATTTCCATACAGGGATATTCAAAAGAAACTTTTCTCCAAAGTTGTTGATAGGTACTTTTAACCCTAACGACCGAACGCCAGCAACCGCCACGGCGTCCGGTCGTAAAGACTTTACTCAGCTTTGTATATTTTATGAAGCGAAAACAATGTAAAATCACTAACACTGCAGACTTTTTAGGGTGTATCCAAATTCGGCCGCCTTGAGACTGACAGGGGTCTCTTAATACCCTAGAAATTATAACAACTGTAAAACAATTAAAAATACTTAAAACCAAATCTATATCTCAATAAAAATTGAATAATCGCTTTTGAAAACTAATTTAAACACGGACGGATAAATATTTAAAACATAACATTTTTGCTATTGTTTCTGTCTCCGTTTGTAATTTATTTAGTTTGCCGGTATCTTCCTAGTAAATATCTTATATCTATAATGGTAATCTATAAGGAAAGGTAATCAATTTATATCTAAACAATGATTCGTTTTAAGAGGACGTCACTCCACCCAAGTTTAAGGAGTAAGGTATGGGCAACTTTATAGTTTGCCTATAATGTATTAATACAGTAATGAGTATACTTTATTAATTGCCTTTTTCTTTTTGCCAGACTATCACAGTCATTTCTATAGGATAAATTACAATTGTTTTCCAATATATTTTCAAATAAATGTTACTCTTG